CCTGTTTCCCATGTTCTGTGGGTGTGGGCACTAGCTGGCTTTGGGGCTCTGGGCGCCTGCACATGGATGTGGTTCATGCTGGGCACTGGAGCTTCTGTGCTGTGGGCATTGGTTCAAGGACGTCTGCTGCATGCAGCCTCCTCCAGATGCAGACATGCGCTGCATCGTAGGGGCAGAGGTGTGCTTGGTACAGGTGCCTGGCAGTGCCAAGGGAGATGCCACCTGTGGACCGCAGAAGCTTGTGGGGTCACCAGTAGGTGCCTGACCTGCATCCCCCTGCTGAGCTGGGCTCTGGCAGAACCTGAGCCTCTGGGGCAGGTGAAGGGGAGGGTCTGCCAGACACTGGGAAGCGGACGTCCTAGTCACCTCCGCAGTGGGTGTGACCCCCGAAGAGCCAGTGATCTTGGGCTTCTATTTCCCAGTCTGCACAAAGGCTCAGATTCTCGCTGCCATTTCCGGCCCCCTGCTCGGAGTACACACCAGTGTCACCATGAGAGGCTCCACTGAGCTGGCTGTTTGTTCCTATCAGAGCTTGTGACCACAGAAGCCCTGGCCCAGCAGGCAGGAGGGAGAGCCCTGATGAGGTCAGCTTTGTGGTTAGGCCAGCTCATTGGATGACAGGTGGACGGTTGATCAGGTCAGATCACTGATTTGAACAGAATTTAGTTTTTATTTTAAAAGTTTAAGACCAAGAGCAAATTACTCTTCTAACTTCAGGGGCTGGGGGTACAGCTCAGTAGGTAGAGTGCTTGCCTCCCATGCACAGGTCCTCGGTCCAATCCCCAGCAAGGCCAAAAAAAAAAAAAAAAGGGCTTTTCTATCTTCAAAGAAGGAATTATCTCAATCTTAAAATGCTTATTTTGAGCCAGGCACACTGGGGCACACCTATAAACCAGAAGCCTGAGACAGGGGGATCACAAATTTGAGGTCAGCTTGGGCAACTTAGTGAGACCCTGATTCACAATAAAAAAATAAAAAGAGCTGGAGATGTAGTTCAGCAATTGAGCAGGGGTAGGAACCGACAGTGGGTGGAAGGCGGATGATGGTGGGTGAGGTGGGTGATGGTGGGTGAGGTGGGTGATGGTGGGTGGAAGGCGGATGATGGTGGCTGAGGTGGATGTTGGTGGGTGAGGTTGTGGGCAATGGCCTCCTGGGACCACAGGCATGTGCTGCCACGCCCAGCTTCTAGGTCTCCCTTTACAGATGGCAGGTGGGCCCTGCCTGCCTGCTGAAAGTCTGCTGTAGGCCTATCCAGTGTCCAGAGGGGTGCTGACTTAAAGGTCCTCTTAGGAAGACACATGGTCGGGGCCTCCCTTCTCCCTGTGACCTCAGCCCAACCTGGTGACAGCTATAGTCCATTTCACAGGGCCCAGGGTCTGGTCAGAGCATCTCTGGGAATGGTCCAGCCCACCAGCCTGGCAGGCACCTCTCACATCCGGCTGCTCTTCCCTTGGTGCCATCCCGTGTAGCCATTGCTTGTCCCAAGGTCCTGAGGTCTGTTGTGTGAGCATGAGAGTGACATGAGAGGTACCTTCACTTCTGGACCTGTTGCTTTCCTAAATGACCCTGTGTCCCAGAGCACCTAGAGCATCTCCCCAGTTGCTTAAGGGGACACAGAGACCACCCCAACATGCATGTTCAGAAAGAGCTGCCTGGTTGCTTCAAAACCCCAAGTGAGCCTTGGCCCCTCCAGACTTGGCCCCCAGCAGCCTCCTCCTGGGCCTTCCTAGTGGCTCAGGGCCCCTACTGCTGTGAATGCCCCAGTGAGACCACCCGCACATTGCGTCCACGCGTCATGGTGCTGAGGGTCTTTGCGTGGGGTGCCATGGCCTCGTTCCTCCTGTGCTGAACAGCACCCCTGAATATGGTGACCACATTTGCCCTCCTCTGGTGGCGCATGGCTGTGGCCTGTGGCTGTGGCTCTGCAGTGAATGGTACTGAGACATGCTGGGCCACGCTGGACACTGACCCTCAGACATTACGAGCACTGCCTCCCTGCCCTCTTCACCTCAAGACAGGACTCACCAAGCAGACAGGCTGGCAGGATTGAGGCCGCTCTCCCAGGTGGCTCGCGCCTGGCTGCGGGTGCTGCTCCTGTGCGATGACAGGTCATGCTGAGGTGCTGCCTGGCGACAGACCCCAGAGGACTGAAGACGCCCATGAGGTCTCCACCCATGAGGTCTCCACCGGGGGTCTGGTCTCTGAAGGCACTGTGCAAGGACACACTGCAGCAAAGACCGGGGACCCTGGAGGCCTGCTCGGCCTGCTCTGAAGGTCACCTGCTCTGAAGGTCACATGCTCTGAAGGTCACCTGCTCTGAAGAAATTAAGAGGAAAAACTAGGCTGTCCTATTTGCCCAGTCACCTCCTGTGTCCTCACTTCTCCTCAGGTTCCAGTTGGGCTTGGGGCCTCTGCAGGACTCTAGTGGCACCCCTGGTAGCACAGCTCCCTGCTGGTGACTCTCCTTCAAGTGCCTTTGCTCCACCTGTGTCCTGCGTCCCAACGTTCAATCCTTGGGCAGCTTCCCTCGCCCTGGTCGCCCTGGTCGCGGGAACCTTTGCCCCAGGGCCTGAGAAAGTTTTCTGGCTGCTTTCAAGGCTTTGGGTTTATCCTCTCTGGGGTTCACTGAGTTTTGTGAATTTTGGTGTCTTTTAAAAATTGTTTTTACTTTGCGTAGAGGGTACTGGGATTGAACCCAGAGGTGCTTAAACCACTGAGCAACATCCCCAGCCCTTTCTCAATTTTGAAACAGGGTCTCACTAAGTTTCTGAGGCTGGCCTTGAACTTGTATCCTCCTGCCTCAGCCTCCTCAGCTGCAGGGATGACAGGTGCAGCCACATCCTTCTCCTTTTGCTTGGGATCTATGGCAAATGACAGACACCCAGGTCCCTGCAGCATGATCACTTGTATTTCCACTTTTTTTTCTTCTTTGTTGGTGCTGGGGATTGAACCCAGGGCCTTGTGCATGTGAGGCCAGCACTCTACCAACTGAGCTATTTCCCCAGCCCTGTTTCCAAATGCTTTTCATCCAATTGTTGTTCTCAAGTTCTGTGGCTTCTGACCCACTTCTAGAGCACTGGCTCAATGGAGTGTGATCAGTTTGTCTGCTGTGTTTTCTGGCCTTGCAACGTCTGGGTCGAGCTGCAACTGTCCCGTTTTCCCTGTGGAACTGAGATGCTGGCTGCGTCTGGCACCCTGGAGGCCCTGCGTGCAGCCTGGAGACGTGGTCTTTGGCAGGCAGCTCCACTCCATGGAGTCCTGCTGTGGTTCTTCCTGGGCCCACCTGCCCGGGCCCTGGGTGTTTTGCTGTGGTGGCTCCTGGCATCATTCTGACTAGCCTTCACCCTGGCCGCCATCAGTCTTCCAGGCCAGAGGCTCAGGTCTTGACCTCCCCGTGTCTTCCCACTCCTGTGCCTGGGTCCTGCTTGGGGCCAGAGTAGATAGAAGGGGAAGATGGGGAGCGTGGCAGAGCTCTGCTCCTCGGGCCCTGTGCCCCACTTTCCCACTCCTGGTCCCAGCACTTCACCCCTCCACTGCTGCTCCTGGCTTTAATGTCTGGCCCAGTCTTCCTATCTGCTGGGCTCCCCTGCCATCTCCACAGGCCCCGCAGCTGCAGTGGCACTGTCCCAAGGCCTACTCCCGCCTTGTGTTCCGGGTCCCTGAACAGCACGGCCCCAGAGGCCAGGCAACTGCTGGGAGGGCAGCATTCACCGGTCCTAGTGTCCTGAAAGTGGGGGCTGCCCCATAGTAAGCACAGGACCCCTGGGCAGCACGACGGACTGTCCTATTTCTCTGGTGGAACTGTACCAACATGAACCTTGCACCTTCCAGGAACCCTGTTCCAGGGGAGCCCAGAGTGTGATGTGTGCCCAGGCTCCAGTGAAGGACAGCACGTGGCAAGTGGGCAGCACCAGCACCTTCAGGAAGGCTGACCTGCTCAACGGGCTGCAGACCAGTGCCGGCCTTCCCCAGGATGAGGGCTGCCTGCAGAAGCCACAGCAGCACAGCTGCCACCCCAGGGCCAGGAGCCTGCAAGCCCCCGCCCCGCCAGCCGCACCTCGGGTGCTTTCACAAGAAGACCATGCACCATTCAACTAAAATTAATAAAAATATTTTATTGAATTTTAGGAACTTGGTACTTTTTAAAAATCTCAATCTTTGCACACAGATCACCACTCTACTTCCTAGGACAGAAGTCTGGACTTACTTAAGAGACTGTCCCTCTCCTCCGGGGCGCCCAGCACAGCAGGCCCACGTGGGACACTGCTGCCTTCACTGGCTGTGATCCTGCCAGGACGAAGGCCGGCGGCTGGGGCCGGGGCTCGCCTGCGCCGGTCTGGCTCAGGGCAGAGCTGCTGCAGGCTGCAGTCCCTGAGGGAGCTGGAGGTCGGCAGAGGCCAGAGACTTCTGCAGAGCGGGACGCTGCGGAGCTGCTGGGCAGCGGGGGGCAGTGGGCGGGAGGCCGAGGGCGGCCGTGCACGGCCCTTCCTCAGTCCTGGAGCAGAGGCGGCGCCACCTCCCGAAGGCCCGGCGGCCGGTCCCGGTGCGAGGTGGGCCTTGGGAGGGGACCGTCCCCCGCGGCGGGGCGCCGCCGGTGTGGTCTTCGTGCGGATGACGTCGAATCGCCTGGAAACACCTTCTGCCATTTCATTCCACCAGGAAAATACAGGTTCTTTTCCTCTTTAAAAAAAAATTAAATACCAAAATAACTACATTTAAATAAATAATGTTATGGTGATGACACGGGACCTTCTCGGCGGCGGCCTCCCGCGGGCCTCTCCCGCCTGCTCTCTTCACGGAGGCGGGACAGTACGCAGGGACAGAGTCGGCGGGAGGGACACTCGGGGCGGCGCCGGCGGGGGCCGGGTCCAGTTCACCGCTCGGCTCCGCGCGGGCGGCCGCCAAGTCCGCTGGTCCTCACGGGGGCTGGCTCGAGGCGCGCAGCCCGGGAGTGTTAAGGCCGCCGGGCCGGGTGGGGCCGGGTGGGGCCGGGGCGGGCCGGGGCGGTCCGGGTCGGCCGGGCGGCGCCTCCTTTGGGAGCTGCGGGGCGAGGACGGCCCCCGCGCTAGTTCTGGACGCCCTTTTCCCTCACGGCTGCGGGTGGCGCATCCACACTCAGGGCGATGACGAAGCCCTCGCCGTCTTCCGTCTTGATCCGCTTCAGCTCCGGCTGCTCGGCCTGGTCGCCATTCTGGCGCTTCGTGGGCAGGGACGCGGACGCCGACGCGTGGGTGGCCAGCATGTGCAGAGGGCTCGCTGAGGCTGAAAGGAGCAGCGCGTCAGAGCCCGGCCCCGCCCCGGCCCCGCCCCAGCCCCGCCCCCAGACACTGCCCCCGCATGCCAAGGACACCCAAGGGCCGACCCAAAGCCGGAGAAACACTGCCTCCCGCTGGCCTGTGCCTGCCTATAGGCCTCCGCTGCAGCACGTGCAGGTTTTCTAAGGAGCTCCACCGGTCCCTCAGCACTGTCGTCGGGCTCAGGAACAGTGCTGTGGCTGCGACATTCCACCAAGTCACCAGGGGCAGGGCTGTGCTGTGCCCAGAGGAGCAGCACAGGCTCACGAGGTCCACCTTCCCATCTGAGTTGGACTAGTGGTCTAACTCACTGCCCCCAGGGCAGAAAAGGCACCCTGGACAGTCCCCTAACAGTCTGCAGGACAGAGCCCACTGGAGCCGTGACAGCTTCAGGGCAGATGCACACACCTGCTGTGGCACCCCTAGCCACAGGGTTCATCACATCAATTAACAGGTTCTCTAGTTTTGCACCCATCTGTTTGAAGACACCTTGTCCAACGCAGTGGCAAGCCTGGTGTTGACCTAGCCAATAGACTGTGGCTCACACCTGGCCAGAACTCATGCTCTGAGGAACACAATAGCCATCTGCACCTAGGATGACGTGACACCAGCTCAGCAAAACCATCAACCAAAGTACAAAAAGGTAAAGGCATGCTAGCCAGTGATCTAGCACATGCAAACGTGCACTCATGGACCCCTCACAACACGACCCAAGCAGCACTTTGAATACCGATTTTGGATAGCAAATAAATGCCAGCGTGTAGGTCTATCTTCAAAGATGGAACCAGCACCATGAACAATCCAGGCAGCCAGGAATAGGACATCGAGGGGCAGGGCGGGGGTGGCCTGGCCACAGACCTGCCTCTCCGCCACCTGGTGGAGGTGCCCCTACCTGGGCAGCAGCCACAGACACCCAGGCTGACTGCCATGCTGGTCATGCAGGGCTCTCCTCCTGGGGCGTGGGCACAAGAGCTGGTGGGTCTCATAATGCAGCTTGGGTGTAGCACCAGCCCCAACCCACCACAAGGGGCAGGGGTGTGGGCAGAGGAAGCAGGACCACACCTTTCCCCTGGGGCTGAAAAGGGACAGGATGTTTCAGCTCAAGAAGAGACCACGATGCCACAATAACTCCAGGACAAGGCTGGAGCCACCTGCAAGATCCCTGGGGCTTGCAGCAGGTTGACAGCCTTCTCCCACCCCTTTCCCCCCAGGCAGAGGCCAAAGGGCCAGTGTCCCAACAGACCTCTCCAGAGAGCTGGAAGGCTCAGGTCTGCACAGGCCTGGGAGCTGGGCCTGGGCTGCACTCTCCTCCAGCTCCAGGTGGACAGGCTGTGCGCCTGAACACAGGCCCTGGGTGTGCAGGCCTACACGGTGGGCTCCAAACTGCCAGGAGCAGCGCAGCGAGGTGGGGGTGGGTGGGTGGGAAGGGGGCAACCCTGATCAGGAAGAGCTGCTGGGCAGGACCTCCATGGGGTCCCCCTGCGCAGACTGCTGTCCCACAGGTGGAGGCATTTGCAAGTGCTGTGGCCTGGGCCAAGCAGAAGAAAGCCAGGTCCACACAGGGACAGGGCGGTCCGCATGTTCCCACGCCTGCTCCTGCTGCTGCATTCCGGCCAGAGCCTGGGGGAGGTGGAGGAAGACCCTGGCAAGGAGCAGGGCAGCAACAGGGAGCTGAGGCAGGAGGTGGCTACAGCCCAGGAGGCCCAGGCCAGCTCAAGGGGGACCAGGCTCAAAAAAACCAAATCCAAAACAGACGGGAGAGGAAGTAAACTGTCTCTTTTGGAAGATGATGCAATCTTATATTTTAGAAAATGTGAATGAACATAAACAAACATCCACACAAACCAAACTACTACAGCTTGTAAAATGAATTCAGTGAAGTTGCAGGGTCCAAGATCACACACAAACATCAGCTGTTTTTCTATACTACAGCAATGAACAACCGAAAAGGGAGATAAAAACACTTCCATATAGAAAAATGGGAAAAACAAAATACTTTGCTGAAATAACCAGAGACAGCTCATGGCTATGCTCAGAGACACGTTAACACTGCCAGGTAATGACATTCTCAACAAGACTGCATTATCACAACCTTTTCAGAACCCCAAAGTTTTGTTTGTTTTTTTTGGGGGGGGGAGCTACATCCCCAGGCTCCCACCTTTTAATTATTTTGAAGCCAGGCACAATGGAGCATGCCTATAATCCCAGCAACTTGTGAGGCTGAGGCAGGAAGATCACAAGTTTGAGGCCAGTTTCAGCAACTTAGTGAGACGCTGTCTCAAAATAAAAAAGGCTAAGCATGTAGCTCAGTGGTGGAACACATCTGGGCTCACTCATCTCTGCATTCCCGCACTTTTTTTAAAATCTGAATTTTGAAATGAGGCCTAAGATTACTGAGGCTGTCCTTGAACTTGCAAGCCTCCTGACTCAGCCTCCGGAGTGGCTGGGATAATAGACATGTAATGCACAAGTGTTGACAACAGAAGGGTACTGGGCCTATCATTGTGCGGCCTGACAGCATTTAGGAAAAAAAAAAAAAAAAAAAAATATATATATATATATATGTATATGTATATTTTAGTTTTAGGTGGGCACAATATCTTTATTTTATTTTATTTATTTATTTTTTAATGTGGTGCTGAGAATTGAACCCAGTGCCTCACGCATGCTAGGCAAGCACACTACCACTAAGCCACATCCCCAGCCCCTGACAGCATTTTTGAAGTGAAATTATGATCCTAAAAAGTTACATGGAATTGCAAAGCACCCAGAATAGCCTATTTGGTCTTGGAAAAAAGAGGGCAAAGTTGGAGGATTCTCACTTCCCAATTTTAAAACTTGCTACAAAGCTACAGTAATTAAAACTGTGGTATCAGCATGAAGATGACATAAAGATCAAGGAAACAGGCAGAACAGAGCATGTGTCTGTGGCTGTTTCCAACACGAGGGAGGGGCACAGGCACAGTGGGGCCCAGGCCAGCACACAGGGCAGCCCAGGCCCAAAGGAAGCAGAACACCCACTTCCAGGAGAAGACACGGAGGCACTGGTGACGGGGTGTGTGTGTGTGTGTGTGTGTGTGTGTGTGTGTGGTGGGATTGACCCCAGGGGTGCTCTACCACCAAGTCACATCCCAGCTTGTGCTTTAAGTTTTCGTTTGGAGACGGGCTGCTGCTGCTCCATTGCCCAGGCTGACCTGGAATGTGAGCTCTTCCTGTCTCAGCCCCAAGTCACTGGGAAGGGCACCCACCACAGACCCGGCCTGCCCCTCTCCTCCTCCCACCTGCTTCCGCACCTTGCGCTGCACCGCCATGCCTGGCTAGGAGAAAGTCTTCACGTCCCCAAATCTGGCAGTGGTTTCATAGATATGACACCAAGCACAAGAAATGAGAGAAAAAATAAAGTAAACTGGACTTCATCAGAATCAAAAGCTGTTAGGAGATATTAGGAAGTGAAAAGCCCATAGAAGGAGAGAAGATTACTTAATTTTGTATCTGAGGAGGGTCTACGCAGCTCCCAGAACACATGAAGGGACCCACAGCTCAGCAGCAAAACGACAACCCAACTGAAGCATAGGCAGAGGTGCCAACAGACAGCACCCAGCAGACGCCTGGGAGAGTGCTCAACATTCCCAGCCACGAGAGAAGCAAAGTCACTCAGAGTCACTGTCTTGGGGCCACTTCACACCAATATGACGTTTAAAACACAAAACAGGCTGGGCACAGCGGTCACTCCTGCAATCCCAGAGAAGCAGGAGGCCGAGGCAGGAGCACTGCAGTTCCAGGCCAGCCTGGGCGATCAAGACCCTGTCTCAAAATTAAAAAGTGCTGGGAATGCAGCCCAGTGATAGCGCCCCTCCGTTCAATCTTCAGCACCCAAAATAATAACAACAAAAACGACGACGACGACAACAACAACAACAAGGAGTTAACAGATACTACTTTGTTTTCCCAGGAGCGAATTTCAAGGGCAAGAGAGGGCCAACTAGGTGTTCCCTGTGCCTTGGCCTTCAACCAGACATTCAGCGCCTGTGTGACATCTGTCACCGCTCCAGTCCCTCTCCTGGCCCGTCTTCCCCAGAGGCCCCCACCTCTGGGGCAAGCGTGTTAGAACAGAGTGCCCACGCTGTGTGAACCTGAACCAGGCTCCCAGAGAGTGCTGCCTCTCCTCCACTCCCGTCCAGGGTTCCCCTGAAGGAGCACCTCATGCTGTGATGGCGTGTGCAGCAGCAGCTGACTGTGGGCCTGCAAGCGCAAAAGAACTCGGCATTTTCTACCCCCTCCTTTCCAGGTAGGACCAGGGCTCTCGGTGTTGACAGCAGGATGGCACCAGGAAGGCACGGGGCTACCCACTGCCTGCAGAGATTAGGAGCAGCCTGGCCATGCCCCTTACAGTGCTGCTGGCCATGGAGGAAGTGGAAGTGCTTTGCTCAGGGCAGACATTCAAGAGCTCTTCCCCCAAGGCTCTGTAAGAGGGCTCTATGCCCTGCTTCACAGATGAGCAGCGGAGGTCAGAGTGGAAGAGAGAAGAGATGTGGACACTGTGTAATTCAGGCAAAGAAAAGTCTGATATCAAAAGGTAATTATGAGCCAGGTGCACGGGCACAGACCCGTAACCCTAGCGACTGTGGGAGCTGAAGCAGGAGGCTAGCCTGCGGAACTTAGCAAGACCCTGTCTAAAAAAAGAGAGATGGGTGTGTGACTCAGTATACAGCTCTTGCCTAGCATGTGTCAGCACTGCAAAAAACCAAACGTGATCAAACTGCACAGCTCATTTGTGAACAGATGTTTTCAGGTTCCGAATGACACCACGGATATTCAGAAGTTTTGGTTCCACAAAGTAAAACTATGCTAAGAACAAAAAATGAAACAACATACTTTCCTTAAAAAATAGTTTTTGCCTAAAAAAATGATTTTGGGTTTTGATAAGCTCTGCAGTACTATTGTCAATCCTTCTATTCCCACTCCATTTTTAGGGTTTAGGTCTACATTTCGTTGCTGAGAGAGAAAAGACGGGCAGAGGCTCTGAGCAGCAAACTCACAGGCAGGAGGGGAAGGAGCAGGACCAGAGGCGGCACACCACAGCCACACCCAGGGTGCTATAGTGGGTGCCGATGAGGATGCAGGACTTCAACTTTAAAACATCAGTATTTAATAGTGGAAAATTAAATCCCTTGCTTAAATTTAAAATGAAAAACATTAGTTACCAACTTAAATGCACTGAGAGACACAGGTGTCAGTTGCACTCGAGGCAGACACAGAAGGCTTTTGGAGCTGTTCCCTGCCACTGGGTGGACCTGGCATCTGGGAAATGCATGTTCCTGGGCACAGTTGTTCTGCCTGGTCAAGCCCTAGGCTGCACAGAGCCCACAGCTGGGAAGGACAACAAAACCCAGGACAGACTGACCCCCTTCACTTCATTCCACTTCTGGCTGCCTGCAGAGAGGGCCACCAGGTCTGCTACATCAAGCCACAGTGACCTCAGCTATTCAGAAGGAAGCACGTAGCCAGAGCAGGAGATGCGGGCCAAGGGAGCAGGCAGTGCCCACTGACCTGAGAATGCGCAGGCTGTCAATTTCCCCAGAAAAGGCATTATACACATGCTCTGCAGGCTTGGGAGGGACAGGCGGCATTCTGAATCACAGAGAGGCAAGTGCAGGTGCCCCGTTTCTGACCCAGGACTACTGCTTCAGGTGTGGGGTGCTGGCATGTGCTACCACGGCACCATGGTGCCACGTGTGCCCATGTAAGAGAGCAAGTGCTCCCCACTGCTGAAATGCCTTTGGTTTGGTGTGTGGAGGTAGTGATGAAATCCAGGGTCACAGGCATGCTAAGCAAGCACTGTGCCACTCAGCCGCACTCCAGCCCTGAAATGCCTCTGCAAAGTACCAGCCCTAAGGACCCTACTTCTGAGTGGCCTCACCAGTAGGCCAGGGCTCCTTCCCTAACAGCTCCACAGGGCAGGATAGGGATGGCAGCTTGGTGTTCCTGAGGGTTCTGAGGCCTCTACACGTGTCAGAACACGCTGGTGTGCACCCCACGTGTGGGCCTCCAAAGGGCTTTCAGAGCAAAGAGGTCACAAAAGCAGCATTCTCTACTTCCACCATTTTCAAGCAACACAGTGCGTAAGCCGCCACTCAGCAGATGAACCACAGCAAGGCAGAACGATATTCAAGACACTAGTTCCACTACTTGCCGCAGTCTGGCTGGGCACAAATCACGAGCCACTCAAGCAGGAACAAACTTTATTTTTGAAACTGCCGCCAATGCCCCGTATGGCTCCCGGGAAGATTGCCGACCAACCCACGCGGCGTTCTCCCAGACCCCAACAGGAAGTCCCTCCTCCGAAATTCCCTCCTACCGCACTTCCCCAACCAATGGGAACTCTCCAGGAGTCCAATAACCATATGAATGCAGATCTTAACATAATCATATCATCTCAATGGCTTGCTGGTATCACCTTTCAACCAAAAATGCCATGCATCATATTACTTGGCTGTGGCTCTTAGCAACTACCCAAGTTTCAGGTCACTCCTAGGCAGCACCTAGGAGCCCTTCTGTCTGGAGGGCTGAGCAGCTCCTTTCTCAGATGGGCTATGCAAAGGAGTCCCACAGTAGCCTGGCCCTCACTAGCTCCTGCTTCTCTGTGCGGCTGCATTTCGAACAGCACAGAAATGCAGCTGCATCCGCAGACAACCAGTGCCAAAACAGCACCACGATACAGACTGCCTCCTCCCAGAAGGGCCTGGGCTCCCAGCCCCAGAGCCCAGCAAAGGACACAGCAAATGGCACTTCTTACCATTGTTCACCTGGCCATGCACGGCAGCCGGCATGGGCACCACGTGGGTTCCGTTCTGCGTTACAGTTTTTATCGGAAGCTGATGCTGACCAAGAGGGGCTTGCTGCACTATGGTGACCGTCTGGACTGGGGTGGCCTGTGGTGTCTGGATGATCCGGCTGGCAGCACCCAGCGTAGTGTGGCTAATTGCAGGAACGGGCTCCACTTTCACTAAAATAAAAGAAAAAGCAAAAATAACACCCACTAATATTATTGAACTGCTGATAAAAATCTTACCAGTTTAAATCAAGAAATCAGAAACCTCTTTCAAACCAGGCTGCGCATTGAGCCCCCATGGACATCGCAGCTGCTTCTCCGGTGCTCACCTTTGACTTCCCTGTGGTCTCCATTCTCCTGTGGTTCTGCCTTAGGAGGGGCCAGCACCGCCGCCTGAGTGACCACGGCTGGGCCAGCAGCTGTGTATGTGTTTGCTGGGGCTAGCCCAGCCACGCTGGTGACTGACACTGCTGGTATCTGGTGGACTACATGGACTGTCTGTACGACAGGCGGCTGAGAGGTGGAGGTCGTCACCGGAGTTGCAACAGTGTAGGTGACAGGCTTGACTGCAGGGGGCAGCTGCCGCTGGACGGTGATCAAGACAGGCTGGCCGGATAGGGGCGAGCCTGTGGACAGCAGGCAGAGGCAGGGCTGAGGCTAGCAGGTCCTGCTCCGCACACCTTCCCACACTCAGCACTCACACACAGCACAGACGTTACCTTTAAGCATCGGATGTGACCCCGCTCTGCCTTGTAAGAAAGGTGTAGTGTCTTAAGAGGGATATTTAATTCCCACATCCAGTTGCTAAAAATGCAACTGACTCTATTACGACTCCTGATAACAAGCTTTCCCCAGGTCTTTCCCCCGAGAACACTGATAAACAGTGAGGGCCAGGCCACAGGTGCCACTCTTGCCTAGTCTAGCGGCTCACCTGGCAGGAAGCAGGACACTCTGCAGCTGACTTGGGCTGTCACAGAGCCTCTGCCCCAACCCTCTGCCCTTTTTGGTTGGAGGGCTTGGACTAAAGAAACACAGACGATGGGTGCTACAGATGGGTGGGAAGGGAAGAGTGTTCTCTAGGCGAGTGTGGCCGGAACCCCAACTGGGGGAACCGCATGTCTCCCCACCACTGCAGTTTTGATTGGACATTTTCACACTGTTTATATGTATTCTTTTTTAATTCACCAGGGCACACATGACATTGTAAATAAACTGTACAGTGCTCACCTACTAAGTGGACACGTTTCTGCTTCCAATCAGCCTCTAGTATGTTCAACCTACATGGTGCTTTTGGTGGGGGTGGAATCATTTTATGGAGTTCTGAATGACAAAGCAACACTCTGAGAAACAGGTGAATTCTAAATTAGTTCATGAACCTACATACAGTACAATTTAAAGAACCTCCGCTGGCTTTCTTAAACACTCCCACTGTTATTAGAATTTTCAAAGCCTACAACCTAACACTCAGGTACCTAGCAGAAAGCACAAGGCAGAGTGGCCTCTACGGTGAGTTTGGCAGCATCCTCTCTGCTGGCCTGGGCATTTGACTACCCTCCCCCCAGTGCACTCACCTGGTGCGCTCTGGGCAAACCGGGCCTCCTGGATGACGGCGAGTTTGGGCTGTGAGGTGCTGGGCTCAGGCTCCAGGGGGGCTGGCGAACCTTCACGTGACAGGCTCTCAGGGGTCTGGGCACCACTGGAGTGAGCAGATAGCACTCCCGCATGGTTGGGAGAGGCTGGGGCACTCCTGAGTCACCAAAACAAGATAACATCCTTTACAGTGATCCCTCCCTCATGGACAGGGACTGTTGTCTCAATGAGTTCACTTTGCAAAACAGTGTCCCTTGTCTTCTGCCCACTAACTGCAGTTCCATGAGTCTGACCTGGTGAGCTGAGCTGGGTGCTCAGGGAGGCTGGGGCATCTGGGGCAGCACCACCCTGGGCCTGGGGCTGCTGCTCTGAAGCAGCTCCTGTGCAGTCAGACAGTGGGCAAGCTGGGAGCTTCAAGACTTACACTTCATGTGTGTTTTTCTTGGGGGGGGGGGGGGCTTAAAAACAAGATTATTAATGAAGCTAAAAATGGGTGGTTTAAAATCAGGCCAATAAACAATCTTGAGTTTAAGCAGCTAAAGGGTAGTTTTAGAGAACTGTCCACATGCCAAAGGAAAGCAAGGCCTCGCAAGCCCGCTGCCTCGTTGCCGAGGTGCAGGAGCCTGAGGAACGGCAGGGCAGAGCATCCAACACTTTTCCAAATCCCCATCCCAGCATTTAATCAAAATGCACCTGGCAGTCCCTTCGTGTTCAGAAGAGGACGTTCCCAGTCCACTGAAGGAGTTTAGGACCACAGGTGAGGTCTGAGGTCCCTTTTCCTTACCTAGACGAGAGCGGTCCCAGAGGGGTTCTAAAGCAAGGCACGCCCCTAGGCCGTCTTTTCCTAAAAGCCTGCTCTATCAGTTTGCTCTCAGAGGCTGGGTCTATCCTCCAGAAGGAGCCTTTGCCTGGTTCTTCCTGGGAACGCGGGACTTTGATGAAATAACGGTTCAGAGAGAGATTGTGGCGAATTGAATTCTATGAAACATAAAAAAATACGTAGAATTCATATAATTCTTTGCTGAGAAACAAAAATGTGCCCTAGTTTTTGGCCCTGCAAAGCAGAAACCTGGGGGAGCAGCTCCTGCAGAGCAAGAGTCCTGTGCTGGGGGAGCAGCCCTCCCTGTAAGCGCGGCTCAGCACAGACTTGGCCCTGGGTTCGACCTCTCAGACGGAGTGGGGGATACAGCTCATGAAGCTCCTGAGCTCCATGCAGGCAGGCACTGGGTCAGGGTGAGGCCTGCAGCACAGAGAGATGCCATTCCCCACCTCCAACTCCCAGGGTAGGAAACCGAGGCCCACTGCTGCCGCCACCCAGCCTCTCCCAGGCAGAGCCAAGACCTCACTGATAGTTTTCCCTGTTCAGAGACACAGACCTGAGTCACCCCTTCACAATACCATGTTGCCAGAGTTAGCTTACAGAATCTGCCATACCATCTGAAGTGCACTGATCTGCTAGAGTATTCAACAAACTGGCAAAAGCTTGCCACCATCACTACTGCCACTTTTCTAGTAACAGACACTTGCGTTGTTTGTGAAGTATGTCCACAAGCACAGTCATGACACAGACGCACAGGAAAACCCCCCCTCAACCTGAGTCCATCCTCCTACTTCAGAAGGTCCCAGCTCTAGGCCTACCACAGGAGACTCCAAGGGAAGCTCCCCACTGTGGCCTGGCCCAGGAACACCAGAAGCCAAACGGGACCAAAGTCACTGATCAATAAACATTCCATGCATTTACACTTTTAAACTTCTACAAATTTTCAAGGTGGTAATAACTCAAAATAAAATTGGGGGCTATTCAAAGATCATTCCTAAATCCCCCCAATTAATCTTACAGTTAGAACTGCTACCCATGGCCTGAAATTCTGATTTGTCAAAGACAGCTAGGAAAGCAGACACATATCAAATATTACTGCACAAACAATCTCAGGGACCATTCAAAATTCTAACTGGTCACAGGATGGAATTAAGGCCTCTGGCCCCTGTGGATCTGAGTTTTCTCATGGGAAGCACAAAGGGGCAAGGTTGGCTGTGTTTGGTGTGATTGTGTATAAATACACGTATTTGTTGAGAATCAGTACATTTATTTGGGGGACAGGGTAGAAGGGACTGAACCTAGGGGCACTCAACCACTGAGCCACATCCCCAGCCCTTTTTATTTTTTGAGACAGGGACTTGCTGAGTTGCTGAGGCTGGGTTTGAACTCACGATCCACCTGCCTCACACTCTGGAACTGCTGGGATCACAGGCGTGGGCCATGGTGCCCTGCTAACTTAGTACATTTTAACAACCAAAGAAAACTTGCCATGGTGTTTGTCACCAGGTATAGCTGATAACCAATCTTCCTCTCAACTCCTCTGAAAGTCAAACATCTGTTCTCAACATCCAAAGACAGAGAAGCCAACGTCTGCCCACCACGTCAGCCCTCTTACACCAGCAGGAGACAGACATTCCAAGACTGTGGACCAAGAGAAGCAACACCAGCAAAAGCCACAGCTAGCCCAGGCTCAGGCACCCCAGTACAAAAATCCAGAACCCAAAATGCTCCAGAACGTGAGACTGTTGAGCATCAGCATGACACCCCACGAGCAAGACCCCACTCTGGGCCAGGGGCTGCGCCGTGGCCAAACAGGAGCTCCCCAAGTACTACACAGCTTTGCTTTGGGGCTGTGTGCAGGTGTGTAGGGATAGGATGAACTGTGATCTCCTTCCCCCAGGAGATCTTGCGGTGTGTATTCACATGTCCCCAAACTGAAAAAGCCTAAAATATGAAACTCCCTGGCCCCAAGCATTCTGGATGAGACCTGTGCAAAGGAGAAGCCTTACAAGTGCCTTGCAGGTTCACAGCTCCCTCACCCACCGCCCAGGCAGTGACCCGGGAGGAACACGGAAGCACAGCGGGAATGTGGCTTCAGGGTCAGGTTCTTTACGCAGGGGAGCAGGGACAGGACATGGCAGAGGCAAGGCAGCTCTGCTACCACCAACAGCACTTGTGGGGGCACAGCAAGCTCCTGGGGTCAGGAGCTGTGACTTCTCTTCTGACCACTTTAACAGAACCAAACCAACACCACCATAAGAGGTCCTAGCCTCCTCTCTAATTGCCCCCTTAGTGACAATCCATAGGCAAAAGATGCCAGTTTATAAAGGGTCACCTGTGATTTCCCAGCCGCGGAGGCTCTGGAAAATAGGAGGAAGTAAACAGGAGGACACGATAGACACTGAAGGTAGACACAAACAGAAGAGTGCCCACTCCCAGGGTAACTCAAGGCCTGTGCCACTTGGTTCAACCCAGGATGAGAGTTCTTCCTTTCCACTGCTCTGTGTTGAAGCCCAAATGCTCAACTCTAATGATCTAGAAATCAGTTTTCTGAGAAAAAGTGGCTTGTTATTTTTAAACGCTGAATATGAAGAGAAGACCTGTAACACTGAAAAAGTTCTTCTTGTCCAGAGCCGTTCCTGATGGGGCTGCTAGCAAAGACCCACTCCCAAACTCCAGCTCCCAGTCCTCAGCGGGTGGTCCACACTGTGCTACCCTCCATGGGTATGTCCAGCCTTCCTGACCAGAACAGCTTGGTCTGCCGGTTCAAGTCCCATGCAGCACGGGGCACTCGGCAACGTGCACCTGTGAAGGCGTATACAGTGTTCAGAGACCTGCTGTGGTGTGGGAATGTTTCCAGATCAGGGCTGAGGTGAGCACACAGCACACCCCCTACCCCATTAGTTCTGAGCTCTTCAGAAGGTGAGACTCCAGTCTCTTCAAACCTTTTTATTTTTTGGTCCAGGGATTGAACTCCGGGGGCACTTGACCACTGTGCCACATCCCCAGCCCTATTTTGTAGTTTATTTAGAGACAGGGTCTCACTGAGTTGCTTAGGGCCTCACTAAATTGCTGAGGCTGGCTTTGAACTCCTGATCCTCCTGTCTCAGCCTCCCAAGCCGTTGGGATTACAGGTGTGCGCCACTGACCCAGCTTCTCTTCAAACTTTTTATATTGATAAAATTGTAAGACGTCATTTTCACAGAAAGACCATGATAAATATACCACCTTTCCAGATGGAGCTACTTAGACCATCTCACTTTACCCAGGAACTTCCTCTGCAGATTAACCAAGGGCAGACCCATGAAATCCTAAAACTAAGTCTAAGAGGCAGTCATGGACCCCACTGAGGGCTTGAGATGGACATGGGGAGCATCCAAACACATCCTCTTAGGGACAGGTGCCAGGCATAGCTACCTGGACTAAAGCTCAGAGAAGCACCCCACGGTGGCCCCTGTTCCCACCACAGAAAGCAGGATACAAGGAGGAAATGTGCATTTTTAAAATGGACTTTAATGCTAACAGTTTTTATTTTTTTTCTCAAAAGGGCACAGTATCACACAACTGTAACCCTGGCCATTCAGCAGACTGGAGCAGGAGAATGGCAAGTCAGAAGCCAGCCTGGGAAACTTAGTGAAAATCCTTCTCAGAAAGACAAGGAAAACAAAGCTGGAAAAACAGGAAGGCTTTCTGATTTAAGCCAGGAGGGAAGAAGTGAGAACAAGGTCTGACACCTACGAGACAGTGAGTTCGACTGTCCGCGATCTCAGGACAAACAGCACACAAGGTCAGACTCCCAAAACTCAGGGGTCTGCAGCAGGCAGTCCCTCTCTCAGTCATCAGCCTGAGACAGGAGGCAGGACACGGCCAGCACAGCCTCACTCAGGTGAGAGACACAGCCACCCTCTCAGACTGTGGTCTAGGCAGAAAAACAAACAAACAAAATCTCCATAAAAACCTATGCTAACAGCAGTTCAGCAGAGGGGTGTGCACATCCAGGTCATGCTGAGATGCCTGTGGTCCAGGCTGCTGTCCCCAAGAGACTGCTCCCCAAAAGGCCCCTCCTGACTCGCATGTGGTGCCACCCTTCCCCCATTAACAAGAAAAACTTACAATGCTCAGGAGTTCGCAAATCCATGCATGTTAGGAAAACACACAGAAACAGAACCAGACACATGAAAGTCTCCTCAAGCTTTTCAGAAATATTCGTTTCCACAAAGCCCCAAGAACCAGTATTTCAAATCATCAGCATTTTGCATGTAAAATTTGCATGTAACCCTGGGCAGGGGTTGTGGCTCAGCGGTAGAGTGTTCGCCTACCACATGCGAGAACCTGGGTTCCATCCTCAGTACCACATACAAATAAATAAATAAAATAATGGTATTGTGTCCAGCTATAACTATTGAAAAAAAAACAACACCTGGGGCTGGGGTTATGGATCAGCAGTCAGAACGCTGGGTTTGATCCTCAGCACCAAATAAAAATAAACAAAGTAAAGGTATTATGTTCAACTACTTCTAAAAAAATAAATGTTTAAAAAAAAAAAAATCTGCATGTAGCCCTAAGGGCACTTCAAATGCCCAGCACTGTGAGTGAGCTGCATTCCACGGGGAGTCTCCCTCCTTGACAAAGCCATGGTCACCAGAACATGCATCTAAATTATTTTGTTCTTTTTATTATGTTTTGTTTTAAATACAAATTTCCTCATAGATTAAAATACGACAAACATGGCTGGAATTTATTATGCAATGTTAAGAGACCCACATGGAACTATTCTCCAAATCCAATGTTTCCTGTCCATTGAGAAACCCTGTCTTGCATGAACAGGGAGACTCACTAGGTACCACCCATGACCAAAGACCCTGAGCCCTCTGAAGAAGGAAACATCCAGGATATGGTTTGTAGATTATTATCTTTTAAATTATGACATGTTTACATACCTCCATCTTTCAACTGACAGCAGGCACCCTCTCCCCTACCCACTCACTAAACTGGGATTAGGGTTCAACAGCACTTTTGTTAACAGACATTCACTCAGCAAGCCAAAGCCTCAAAGGAATTCTATAGCCATTCCTGGTTATTTGATGAATTTAAAAATCACAAGCATACATTTCTTCTCTTTTTTATTTTATTTTTTTCAGCATAGGGGATTGAAACCAGGAGTGCTCGACCACTGAGACACAACTCCATTCCTTTCTAATTTTTGAAACAAGGTCTCACTAAGTTGCTGAGGCTGAACTTGAACTTACAACTGTCCTGCTTCAGCCTCCCAAGTCACTGGCATCACAGATGTGGCCGCTGTGCTCAGCTACTTTCATCTGTTTTATGTACCAGCCGACTGGAGACATTTTTAGAAGAAAAGACTCTCAGGTTAAACAGTTCGTGCACTTTACAGTTGCTGTATTTCAGCACAAGTAGGGAGGAAAGCAGAAGACTGCCAAAGCACAGAATGGGCAAGATTTCCAAGCCCAGTTTCAGATATCCAAGGTGAACCGCACAGACCCAAAGGAAACAGGCCTCAGGCATCCCATCGAGACACAGGAGTTTCCAAGCCAGTAATAGCCGAAGGCCTGACTTCCCAGGACCGCTGTTGCTTCAGCCCTGCACTCTAGACCTGCACCTGCACCAGCCTGGGCACCAGCTAACTCCCACCCCCCATCAACCAGCACCTGCAGACGTGGCACAGACACCTCACTGACAGGCTGAAGTGATTTACCTGCCAGCCCTTGTCCGCAGTCCTGTAGTATGGATAATTTTTAGTGATGTGTGTATAAATTCCATTTAGGGTGAGTTGTTTATCAGGAGCCATTGTAATCGCCTGTACAATTAATTGTGCATAGGAGTAAGGTGGCTTTGAATCATCCTGTATTAAAAAAAAAAAAAAAAAAACAGTATTAAAATAAGCATAACTTTTTTAAAACTAAAATTCAGGATTCTCTTTTGTAAGTGTTCCTTTGACAATTTTCAGTTTTTGATATTAAAAAGTAATAAAATTTGAAAAACATGTAGGAAAGAAATACAAAAGTACAGAGTGGTATGAAAAGATTAAAATCTCTCTCTCACAGACACACACTCTCTCTTTCCAAGTGGCAAAAACAAAGAAAAACCAGTAAAACAGGGCAAAGCTGACCAAGCTCAGTGAAATGTGACCTGAACCTTCGCCCTGTGGCAAAGAGCAAGCCAGTGGGAGTGGGAGGAGCAGATCTAAGGGGAGCCCCAGGTGCCCATCCCAACAGAAGTGCCAAGCTCTCAGGGAAGAACTGCCCAGCACACGTCAGCCAGTTGCACAGGACGTGAGTATGAAGGACCCAGAGGCAGGTTTCCAACTCCAGGTCTGAGGCAGCTCAGGCAGATACTGCATCCATGGTCCTGGGTCTCTCAGGGCCCTGGTGGCCCTTATCACTGTGACAACTCAAAATTCCACTTGCGGCCAGGCGCGGTGGCACACACCTGCAATCCCAGCAGCTCAGGGAGGCTGAAACAGGAGGATCACAAATTCAAAGCCAGCCTCAGCAAAAAGCGAGGCGCTAAAACAACTCAGTGAGACCCTGTCTCTAAATAAAATACAACACAGGGCTGAGGATGTGGCTCAGTGGTTGTGTGCCTGAGTTCAATGCCCAGTGCCAAAATCATATCCACTTGCAACAGCACAAGTTGAAGGGAAAGTTCCCAGGCTTTGTCTGAACTTCTGGAAAACGTACACACCAGCACAGTGAACAGCAAAGCAGGCAAATAAAAAACCAGTTTGTAGGGGCTGGGGTTGTGGCTCAGTGGTAGAGCTCTTGCCTTGCATGCATGAGGCACTGGGGTCGATTCTCAGCACCACATAAAAATAAATAAATAAAATAAAGATATTGTGTCCATCTA